CAGCATATGGACGCCTGGCAAACCTAAGTACAGCGTTTCGACATCCGAGTAAGGCGTCATTCAAGACACTGTACACTGTATACATCAGGCCCATATTGGAGTATGCAGCACTAGTATGGAACCCACATCTGGTCAAGCACGTCAAGAAATTAGAGAAAGTTCAAAAGGTTTGCAACATGACTAGTCCCAGAGCTAAAGGGTATGCCCAACTAGGAAAGCTTAAAGGAAATCAATCTGACGACACTGGAGGACAGGAGGGATAGGAGGAGACATGACAACGACATATAAAATACTGAGAGGAATTGACAGAAGACAGGATGTTTCAGAGTTGGGACACAGTAACAATGGGAAACAACTGGAAGTTGATAACTCAGACGAGTCACAGGGATGTTAGAAAGTATTTCTTCAGCATAGAGTTGTCAGGAAGTTGAACAATCTGGAGAGTGATGTGAAGGAAGCATGATCCATACATAGCTTTAAGAAGAAATACGAAAAAGCTCATGGAGCAGGGAGGGAGTGGACCTAATAATTGCCAGCAAAGAGGCGGGGCCAAGAGCTAAGACTGAATCGACCCCTACAACTACAACTAGGTGAGTACACACAACAGTGTTGACAGTGTCGGAGGATCCAGAAAACACCGACCACTTCAAGCTCCTCAGCTCCAATCTAATCCTCAGGTTTTAAGTATTTGTTGAACCGCATCTTCTCTCTTTTTTCCCCTCCTCGTGTTCGAGTTGTGTCCCTGTTGCAGGTGGTCTTGTGTGGCAGCTGGTTGGTCTTGTGGGACACCTGGTCTTGTGTGGCAGCTGGTTGGTCTTGTGGGACACCTGGTCTTGTGTAGCAGCTGGTGGCCTTGGTAAAAGTTAGGGCCAACGGGAGATAGGATCCTATAATAGAATTCTCTCTCTCTCTCTCTCTCTCTCTCTCTCTCTCTCTCTCTCTCTCTCTCTCTCTCTCTCTCTCTCTCTCTTCTCTCTCTCTCTCTCTCTCTCTCTCTCCAAACTACTTATCGGTAATTAATTCCTTCTTTTCATCTTAGAGGTTTATTACACTTTCCGAACTATTGCTTCCAAACTCGGAGATTAAATCCTAAAGCGGCTCTCCCTCTAAGCCTATTGATTTTGGTTGTATCTCCTCAAAGAGGAAAAAAGGAGCTTGAAACATAATAAGAGACGAAATACGTGAGATTGGAACATCCAGCCTTCTGTTCAGGAGCTGCTGACTGAATGATGGTGGATGAAGTTGATTTTTTTTTTGGGGGGGGTTGGAGGAGAGGGAGGGGTTACATTATGTTGGAAGGTGTATGTACTCACCTATTTGTACTCTCCTATTTGTGGTTGTAGGGGTCGATTCACAGGTCCAGGTCCCCTCTCTTCTTGCTCGAAGAGCTTTATCGTACCTCTTCTTAAAACTATGTATAGATCTTGACTACATTATATCACTCTCTAGACTCGTCCACTTCCTGACGACTCTACGACTGAAGAAATACTTCCTAACATTCCTGTGACTCATCTGAGTCTTCAGCTTCCAGTTGTGGCCCCTTGGTACCGTGTCCCATCTCTGAAGCATTATGTCACCATCCACCTTGTGTGTACTCACCTAATTGTACTCACCTAATTGTGGTTGCAGCTCCTGGCCCCGCCTCTTCACTGATCGCTGCTAGGTCCTCTCTCTTTCTGCTTCCTGAGCTTTGTCATACCTCATCTTAAAGCTATGTATGGTTCCTGCCTCTACTACATCACTTGCTAGACTATTCCACTACCTGACAACTCTGTGACTGAAGAAGTACTTCCTAACATCCCTCTGACTCGTCTGAGTCTTCAGCTTCCAATTGTGACCCCTTATTTCTGTCCCCTCTCTGGAATATATTGTCTCTGTCCACCTTATCTATTCCACGTAGTATTTTGTATGTTGTTATCATGTCTCCCCTAACCCTCATGTCCACTGACATACACAGTGTACAGTGTCTTGAACGATTCATTACTAAGGTAACGGAGCGCTATTCTCAGGTTTGCCAGGCCCCCATATGCTGCAGCAGTTATTTGGTTGATGTGTGCTTCCGGAGACGTGCTTGATGTTATGCTCACCCCAGGATCTTTCTCCTTGAGTGAGGTTTGCAGTCTTTGGCCACCTAGCCTATACTCTGTCTGTGGTCTTCTTTGTCCTTCCCCAGTCTCCATGACTTTGCACTGGGCGGGGTTGAATTCGAGAAGCCAGTTGCTGGACCACGTGTTCAGCCTGTCCGGGTCTCTTTGTAGTCCTGCCTGTGTGTGTGTGTGTGTGTGTGTGTGTGTGTGTGTGTGTGTGTGTGTGTGTGTGTGTGTGTGTGTGTGTGTAAATTAAGGTCCGTGAATAACCCCCACAAGCGCAACATGATGTATGTTGCTGTATATTGCATTCCCTGGCGCTCTGGCCGGCTTGCCACGAAGCCTAATTCTTGCTGGTTTGCTGCGTCCGCCAATGTTATCCTTCCCCTCCACGAAGCGTTCTGCCCACAGTCAGAAGATCCGGGTTGGATTGCTTGACTAAGCGAAACGTATGAGCAAGTCTCCTTAAACCTTTCGCCCTTGTTCACCGAGCAGTAAATAGGGATCTTTGTGTTAGTCAACTTTCGTGGGTCGTATTCGTTTGAAAGAACCCCGTTGGAAGTAAGCCAGCCGCACTACTTGGCTTTGTTGGGTTATCCTGCGCCAATAACCCTCTGGACATTAAGTACCCTAAGGCTTCCTCTTCCTCCTCCTCCTCCTCCTCCTAATTCTTCGTCTTCTTCTTCGTCATCGTCGTCGTCTTCTGAGACGATGGTGTGGATGTTAGTAATGGAGGCCATGAAGTACGAGGGAGGAAGGGGAAGAAAAACGCTGCTGAAAGCCCCGGAGGTGCTACTGAGAACGCTATAACCGCTGCTGAAGCCGCTGTAGGCGCTGTTGGGGACGCTGAAGGTGCAGGATCCACCAGACGGCAAAGATCGCAAGACGTGAAGTTAAAAAGACAAGATACATCGTGGCAGGAGCCACAAAGGCGACTGTGGATGCCACAAGATGGAAGAGGATCCTATATGGGACTTGACGGACCCTTGGGTTTCCAAACCCCTCCTTCCCCCGCATCCTGCTTGCATAAAAAAAGACTAATATTTTCCTGCGTCAGGTGACTTCTTGAATCCACCTAATTACCGACTTTTGCCAAGGTTAATGTAGCTCTCACTGTTGCTAATTATCCGATTGTCTGCCATCGTGGTTAATTAAGAGTGGAGGCGCCGCTTTAATGATCGCATGTCTTTGTGTGTGAAAACTGCAATGACGCTAGAGTGGTTTTTAAATGTCACGAAGCTTAAAATCTGACGCAGGAAGGGACGTGAGTGAAGTTAAGACGCATGGTGTTATATATGCTTTGACTAAGACGACGTTTCATTCCTGTGTCGAGCTTTATCAAGACTCGATAGAGCTCTTCACAGAGCGAAACATTATTCCAGCATAGGCTTGTTTCGCAACATGTACGTTACCAAAATCCATAGGAAGTGATAATAGCTAGTGAATCTGTTAGCTTTAAAGCCTCTCGACTACACATAGGTCATTAAAACCGCGTGTCGCCTGTTCACCAGCCGTCGAGGATACTCTATATGATCACTGAATCATTAATTAAAGCAAAAATCTCAGCGTATGTACCGTCGAAGATATGCATTTCTCAGTATATATACACTGAGATATACAAATCTCTCCGTGAATATACACTGAGACATTTACGTCTCTCGTTGTAATAACACACAGGCACTTCTCGGTATACATTCATGAGAAAAGGTATATACACCTCTTAAGTTTATATACCAATCCTCTTGTCATCGTGTTTGGATCACCTCAACATTCCATCGATTTTCCTCCAACAAAAGCCAAGTCAACAAAGGTTATGCAAGATACACAGGTTTACTGCCAGCACCATTAAAGGCACATGTAGAGAGCAAGCTTTATCAAGGTTGATTAACTTGATAAAGCTTTACACAGAGCCCGATAAAGCTCTACAAAGAGCGAGACGCTCTATTTATAAAAGCTTATTCTCCACCTATATCTTTCCATCCCTCTTGAAAAATAGGGCGAAACGTCTTTAAAATCATTTTTCACCAACTCTAACCTAACCTAACCTAACCTAACCTTGGTAATATTAAAATAATCTAAAGCAGCCTAACATGCCTAACCTATCTATAAATTTAGGCTGTTTTGCATTAATGGTATACAATACGGGGAAGGTGATGAATAAGACCCATGTACAACAGCTGAGTATCTGTGCTGACACCCACATGTGTAACAGCTGGGTATCTGGGTATCTGTTGCACATGTGTCTTACCAAATATTAATCTAAGTTGTTGTCCATGAGCTAAGAGTGGGGAGAGAAAAGGGGTGTTCAGATGACCCTATTCTTTTGTTGACATACTCGAGAAACCGTAATCAGAAAAGTCAGAAGCTACACTTTTATCACTGTGCCGAAAATATCACACCAGGAATCAGTTACGTACACCGTGAGTGTTCTATCTCTGTGTATGTACGCCGACAGGTGTGTATCTTTCAATGTACATACACTGAGAGGTTACTTTGCCTGGTGGTGTACAGATTCGCGAAAGAAGGATCAGTCTTTCTTTAACCTTTTTCACGAGAGAATGATAATTCATTCTTTATTCTTCGTGAAAGAAGGATGACAGTGGCTTGTAAGGTTCAGTTTTTCTTTGTGCATTTATGTTTCATCAATCTGACTCCAAATGACGTACTGAAGACAATAGTGAAAGAAGTCACTGACTGAAGAACTTGGTTTTATTGGGACAACATTTCGCTCTGTGTAGAACTTCATCAGGTCACATTTCTCTCCGTGGAGATCTTTATCAAGTCACAATTCGCTCTGGGTAGCGATCTGATAATGCTCTACACGGGGCGAAATGTTGTCCCATTAAAATCTTGTCCTGTAACCTATGTTTGTTTTCTTCACTTCGATAAAATAAGACAAAAGCATCGACTCACGGAGAAGTTGCCGTAGCCGAGGTGATCGCAAGAGCACTGGCACTTGAGGATGTGTTCCTTGATGTCCTTGGGAAGGCTCTCCACGCTTCTACTGAGACGCCACCCTCTGCTCAGGCCGTGGGCGTGGGCGTGGCTGTGAGCGCTGTCGCGACAGTTGCCGCGTTCCTCGACGCCCTTGTGGTTGTGGGTGTTGGAGTGGAGGTGCCCCTGCGTCTTCGTCTGGGTGTAGGTGTGTGAGGCGGCCGGGTGGGAGCTGGTGTTGACGTGGGTTGCTGTGTGTTTGTGTGGTGGAGGTTGGATGTCGAGTGGGTGGCCCAGGGCAGTGGTCAGCCTCTCTTCAACACTCATCAGTTTCGGCAGCTGGGGAAAAGCAGAAAGGGAGAACACAGTAAATATATGTGGGTTGTACCTCACTGCAGAGTAATGATCACAGGCCACTAACACAAGAAAGAAAACACAATAAGTATAAGAGCATTTGAATTATGTCCGACTTGCAACATTATTTTTTGCGTGCATTGATGTAGAGGGCGGCTGGAGCTGTGAAACAATGGAATTACTTTCTCGGTTCATATAGTGACGGAAATACCTTTAGATTCCTTATTATCTTCTGCAATGTAAGTTCATTTGTGCTATATTATCTGAATTACCTACTGTAGGAAATGTGAACTGGGCGACTTTTCGGTTGTTTGATGATGGTCTTGGACGGGGCAAAATGTCATCCAGTTTGTATATACGGTTTGTAAGTCAGTTGTGTATATAAGCTGACAGAATGAAGCTTTCATACTTATCAGTGGTGTACAATACCGGCAAGTTAAGCAAGACACATGTGCAACACCAGAAATTTTTATTGACGAAACGTTTACCCTGCGCAGCAGGCTTTATCAGTCCAATGTAGAGATGAATCACACTCCTGAAGACATCTCTCTACACTGTAGAGAGATAGTTTGATGTAATCAGTTCATCAACCTGGGTGGAAGATGATCAGTCTATCACCTGGGTGGAAGATGATCAGTCTATCACCTGGGTGGAAGATGATCAGTCTATCACCTGGGTGGAAGATGATCAGTCTATCACCTGGGTGAAGATGATCAGTCTATCACCTGGGTGGAAGATGATCAGTCTATCACCTGGGTGGAAGATGATCAGTCTATCACCTGGGTGGAAGATGATCAGTCTATCACCTGGGTGGAAGATGATCAGTCTATCACCTGGGTGGAAGATGATCAGTCTATCACCTGGGTGGAAGATGATCAGTCTATCACCTGGGTGGAAGATGATCAGTCTCAGCCTCAGAGACTGATCAAGCCTGCAGCGCAGGCGAAGCCTTTCGTCAATAAAGATCCCTAGTGTTGCACGTGTGTCCTACCTACCAGAATGAAGGTTATTCTCGCAAAGTTTACGATAGAAGTAGCAGGTCCTTGAAATACCTTCATCCTGTTATCTTGCCTCGAGATACACATTAGCAACACCCTCATGTTATCTTGTTTCTAGAAACACATTAGCAACATCCTCATGTTATCTTGTTTCTAGAAACACATTAGCAACATCCTCATGTTATCTTGTTTCTAGAAACACATTAGCAACACCCTCATGTTATCTTGTTTCTAGAAACACATTAGCAACACCCTCATGTTATCTTGTTTCTAGAAACACATTAGCAACACCCTCATGTTATCTTGTTTCTAGAAACACATTAGCAACACCCTCATGTTATCTTGTTTCTAGAAACCATTAGCAACACCCTCATGTTATCTTGTTTCTAGAAACACATTAGCAACACCCTCATGTTGTTATCTTGCTTCAAGATACACATTAGCAACACCCTCATGTTATCTTGTTTCTAGAAACACATTAGCAACACCCTCATGTTATCTTGTTTCTAGAAACAATTAGCAACACCCTCATGTTGTTATCTTGCTTCAAGATACACATTAGCAACACCCTCATGTTATCTTGTTTCTAGAAAACACATTAGCAACACCCTCATGATTATCTTGTTTCTAGAAACACATTAGCAACACCCTCATGTTATCTTGTTTCTAGAAACACATTAGCAACACCCTCATGTTATCTTGTTTCTAGAAACACATTAGCAACACCCTCATGTTGTTATCTTGCTTCAAGATACACATTAGCAACACCCTCATGTTATCTTGTTTCTAGAAACACATTAGCAACACCCTCATGTTATCTTGTTTCTAGAAACACATTAGCAACACCCTCATGTTATCTTGTTTCTAGAAACACATTAGCAACACCCTCATGTTGTTATCTTGCTTCAAGATACACATTAGCAACACCCTCATGTTATCTTGTTTCTAGAAACACATTAGCAACACCCTCATGTTGTTATCTTGCTTCAAGATACACATTAGCAACACCCTCATGTTGTTATCGGTGAGTTAATTTTGGAGTTCAGTCCCTCTGACCTGAATAGCTGATAGAAGGACTTCAGTTTCTTAGTCTTGAAGAATTTTGATCTACTTTTAATATGTTTCTAGATACACACTAGCATCCATAAGATAGTTTCATTGTGTGGGTTTAACAGAGCCATAATGGTTTAACAGAGCCATAATGGTTTAACAGAGCCATAATGGTTTAACAGAGCCATAATGGTCCAAACCTTCAGACCGGGTCTGCCGAAAAAATTCCGCTCAGATAAATATCAAACAAATTTTATTGAAAAAACGATACTTTTTTTTTTTCACTTTCCCCTCCCCCTTGATAATGCTTTATTTTCTTAAGGGGAAATTATCAATATACGTCTGGGGGAGACAGTTTCCTATATCTGGATATAACAGGGAAAAATATAGGTTTATCATTCGCTTCCCAGGGAAAGAACGAGTTTCATAATTCATAAACAATACTCTTAACGAGAATGATGTGGTAAAAAATAAATTAATAAGTAATGGATATTTTAGCATTAAATTTGTAGACGAGGCTCTAAATTTAGTGTTTCAACCAGGCCCTTAACTTAGTCTTTCAGGAAGGCCCCTCAACTCAGTCTTTGGGGAAGGACCCTCAACTACGTCTTTGAAGGAGGCCCTTAACTCAGTCTTTGAGGAAGGACCCTCAACTCAGGCTTTGAGGGAGGCCCTTAACTCAGTCTTTTAAGGCCCTCATCCCGGTTATATGATGGTTATGGACACAATATTTCTTGTTTGCAAATATACGTCACTTGTTAACTAGTATTTCCAGATTATTCGTGAAAAATAAAAGTTAATATTTCTTAAAATCAAGACAATGTTCTTATGTTACGTAAGTAACATTACAGTGTTATGTTAGCTGATGTTTATGTCGTGATGGACTGCATGAATCCCTCCAACAAGTCCAACTGCCCTTAACATACATCTTTTAGGAAAAAACTACACTTGTATGCAATGGTATACTGGATATCATGTGCGGACTAAATACAATGGTAATTTTTTTTTTAATTTTGATCCAAAATTAATTTAGAAACCTGACCTAACCTTGTAAAAATTAATGTAATATAATACAGTTTAATTGGACCCAAGCTATCATACGTGAGCCTAAAATGAATTAGTATCACCATCAGTGAAACGTTTATTTACTTAATGGTTAACTGGTTATCGCGGCGTTACTACCAGGATAATTTTCACTGAGCTTAGTGGAGAAAATGTCGAATGTTTTACCCTTCAGTGAATGGAAGGGTGCAGTGATGCTAGAGAAGGGTTCTTGATCCAACTAATTGGAGCTACCCTTAACTTCTCTAGACGTTGTATGTCCTTTGCGGGTTAATGGCTAGTCATGGTGCTTTTGAGCCAGAGCTCAAAAGCACCACATATACTGTGTTAGTTACAAGCCTCTTGGTGGCAACGCTCATATATCCATCTCTCTGATGCTGACAATCTGTTTTCTTTCAAGTAAACAGAATCAAACCCCTCAAGGGGTAGTCGCTTCTGTGTACACTTTATCTTACAAGCTTCTTCTCGGAAGCGTTTTAAAGTCAAATTAGAATTCATCCTACGCCTTGAGGCTTTTATATAGCGGAGCCCCTGCAGGGACTTGCAAGTTTGGTATTCCACTACGTGTTGTTGAATAATGCACACGTCTCTTTCATCAAGATATTTTCTCCCACTCAACTTGCTTTCCCTCTTGCCCTCCTCTGATGGTCTTGGGAGAGAAGATGCTGCCAGGGTGCTACGTAGACCTCTAATGGTCTGGGGAGAGATGTTGCCAGGGGTGCTACACAGACCTACTCTGATGGTCTGAGGAGATATTATGCTGCCAGGGGTGCTACATAGACCTGCTCTGATGGTCTGGGGAGAGAATATGCTGCCAGGGGTGCTACATAGACCTGCTCTGATGGTCTGGGGAGAGAAGATGCTGCCAGGTATGCTACATAGACCTGCTCTGATGGTCTGGGGAGAGAATATGCTGCCAGGGGTGCTACATAGACCTACTCTGATGGTCTGAGGAGATAATATACTGCCAGGGGTGCTACATAGACCTGCTCTGATGGTCTGGGGAGAGAATATGCTGCCAGGGGAGCTACATAGACCTGCTCTGATGGTCTGTGGAGAGAATATGCTGCCAGGGGTGCTACATAGACCTGCTCTGATGGTCTGGGGAGAGAAGATGCTGCCAGGGGTGCTACATAGACCTGCTATGATGGTCTGGGGAGAGAATATGCTGCCAGGGGTGCTACATAGACCTGCTCTGATGGTCTGTGGAGAGAATATGCTGCCAGGGGTGCTACATAGACCTGTTCTGATGGTCTGGGGAGAGAATATGCTGCCAGGGGTGCTACATAGACCTGCTCTGATGGTCTGGGGAGAGAATATGCTGCCAGGGGTGCTACATAGACCTACTCTGATGGTCTGGGGGGAGAAACTACTGCCTGGGGATCTGATAACACCCTCTCTGTTGGTCTGAAGGGAGAGAGAGAGAGAGAGAGAGAGAGAGAGAGAGAGAGAGAGAGAGAGAGGCGGGGGATACTGGGGGATGGGAGTCAGATAAACCAGCTGGCGATGCCCCATCTACTGATTTTCACTCTCTTGTTCCTCCTCTTCATCCACTTGTTTCGTTTTTCTTTTTTTTTCATTTACTGTTACGTCTTCAGCTTCCTCTTTCGAATTTCTAAAATTTATTCTATACATTGCCTTTATTTTTTTCAATTTTATCTTTCCTTTTTTCTGTTTCTTCCTTTTCTTCATCTTTTGTTTCAGTTTTCCTCTAACTTTTTCTATATATATTTTACGTATTTTTATTTGTCTTCTGTCTCTTGGGTCGTGTTGAGTTTGTTTTCAAAATTTAGGTTAGAAAGAGGGATAAAAGTTCGTAACTATAAATTTAATACTTAATGGGCAAGACAGACGTGCAACACTTGGGTATTTTCTTTGCCGAAACGTTTCGCCTGCGTAGCAGCCTTCTTCAGTCGAATACAGGCGAATATAACAATGAAGAGGGTAGAAGCAGTAGGTAGCACTATTGAACACTGATCAGGACATTTATTAAGGAAACTTTTCGAACGCGAGTGGCTTCCCCAGTCCTACTGGGGACTCGACTCACTTGGGGCGAAACGTTTCCCTAATAAATGCACTGATTAATGCACAAGTGTTTTAATACCCACATCTTGTCGGTGTCAGTCTACCCGTTCCATCAGTAGAAGTAATATTGAGGCTATCAGTCCCTCATCCCACACAGTGCCTTACTTGGATTTCAGCCCCTCAAAAAATAGCGTTGCTTTTATCTGTTCCATCACAGCTGAAAGTTTGCTAAGAAACTGTTGAATGTACACAACACCTTGTACTCAGACTGTGATCAATATCCTTTTAACAGCATCGACTGTCTCCCCACCAAGGTCACGTGACCTGGAGAATGTTATTATTATTAAAGATTAGCCGGTATTCTCCCGGCCCGGGCCTTTTCCAAGTGGTGGCCCGGCCTTGGCTCCCTCTTTAGGGAGTGTCTGAGACCAAAGTCTCCCATGGGAGGAGGCACAAGTACCTCCTCATCTTTGGGACCAACTGTCCCCAGGCCTAGCCACAAGCTAGGCCTCTCTGGTCTGCCATCCCCGCCCCAAAGGGGCAAATGGGAATGACAGTCTTATGAGCTAAAGGCTCGGGCTCAGGCACCTACCCTACCCTAGAAGGGTTAGGCATGGTGTCGATCTCCTGGAGAATGAAGCATTTATTGCCTTCACGTATTTAGAATGTTAGGTAAAATACTTAAAATCAACTAACGAGATATTACTGTTACGTTTCGCTCACCAGGAGCTTTAAGAAGACGATACAAACAATGCAGTCGCCTATGTGATGGGCCATTAAATTCTTGCTCCGCTTAATTCTCTTCAGTTCATGATTATAGTTAAAGATGTTTATTATAGTTAAGATGCAGAGCTACACTGACTTTGTTGTGGGGACGATGTTTGTCCAGACCGCCAGTGTAGAGTCGCTGATAACTTTTCCCAGCCTTAACGAAGTTACCATTAGCATGGCCGGTACTGCGGTCGGCTGGTGCAGTCTTGCCCAGGTTCCATCTCCTACAACATGTATAATGAAGGTGAATGATGGCCGGTACTGCGGCCGGCTGGTGCAGTCTTGCCAAGGTTCCATCTCCTACAACAGGTATAATGAGGGTGAATGATGGCCGGTACTGCGGCCGGCTGATGCAGTCTTGCCAAGGTTCCATCTCCTACAACATGTATAATGAAGGTGAATGATGGCCGGTACTGCGGCCGGCTGGTGCAGTCTTGCCAAGGTTCCATCTCCTACAACAGGTATAATGAGGGTGAATGATGGCCGGTACTGCGGTCGGCTGGTGCAGTCTTGCCAAGGTTCCATCTCCTACAACAGGTATAATGAGGGTGAATGATGGCCGGTACTGCGGCCGGCTGGTGCAGTCTTGCCAAGGTTCCATCTCCTACAACATGTATAATGAAGGTGAATGATGGCCGGTACTGCGGCCGGCTGGTGCAATCTTGCCAAGGTTCCATCTCCTACAACATGTATAATGAAGGTGAATGATGGCCGGTACTGCGGCCGGCTGGTGCAGTCTTGCCAAGGTTCCATCTCCTACAACATGTATAATGAAGGTGAATGATGGCCGGTACTGCGGCCGCTGGTGCAATCTTGCCAAGGTTCCATCTCCTACAACATGTATAATGAAGGTGAATGATGGCCGGTACTGCGGCCGGCTGGTGCAGTCTTGCCAAGGTTCCAACTCCTACAACAAGTATAATAAGAGTGGATGATGGCCGGTACTTCAGCCGGCTGGTGCAGTCTTGCCAAGGTTCCATCTCCTACAACAAGTATAATAAGAGTGGATGATCGCCGGTACTTCAGCCGGCTGGTGCAGTCTTGCCCAGGTTCCATCTCCTACAACAAGTATAATAAGAGTGGATGATGGCCGGTACTTCAGCCGGCTGGTGCAGTCTTGCCAAGGTTCCATCTCCTACAACAAGTATAATAAGAGTGGATGATGGCCGGTACTTCAGCCGGCTGGTGCAGTCTTGCCAAGGTTCCATCTCCTACAACAAGTATAATAAGAGTGGATGATCGCCGGTACTTCAGCCGGCTGGTGCAGTCTTGCCCAGGTTCCATCTCCTACAACAAGTATAATAAGAGTGGATGGAACCCACGTCAAGGCAGCCTTAAAACTTTGACACCAACGCTCTTAGTGAACCATGAAACTTACAGGAAGATTATTTCATCTCTTTACACTTACGTACTAGAGAAGAATATTGGCATCACAGTAGCAGTTTATGGAAGAAGACCCTCCAGCCAAGATCTTCCAGTCCACCAAGACCGGTTATGTGCGGAATTTACAAAATTGATCATACCGCCTCACTTAGCAACTCCTTCGTAAATAATAAAATGTGCTCACTTTTATCCATCTTTCTAATTCTTCTTAAAATATGTAGAACCAAATGAACCCGCTCGCGTACTTCTGTTTCTCTTATATAATATATATATATATATATATATATATATATATATATATATATATATATATATATATATATATATATATATATATATATATATATATATATATATATATGTATATATATATATATACACACAATATGAGAAGCAATTTTCTGTATATGTGCTACAATACGTAAAGTAATGTTAATTTTAGTGCCATGCAATCATACAAACACAGGGAAATATAGTAAGAACATGCAAGATTTTTTTTAATTTTAAATTTATATTTTAAAGGAAGATCAGGAGACAGATGTTCTTTGTATTGAAAACACAAATTCGAATAAAAATGGTGGAACAAGCAGATTCGATGAGTGTAAATGGGGGACACTCTCGTGAGTAAACAAAGAATGTTTTGACGTTAAAGCAATTTAAGTGAGACAGAGCTTCATAGAAAACTAACACACACACACACACACACACACACCTCAGGAAAACAGAGAGATAACTGAGTAGACAGAGACTGTGTTACCTACCGTGCACATAGACGACGCTCTAGTCATTGGCAAATCTTGGTAGGAGGCTTGTGTCGCAGGGCGCCCCTGTTGGGTCAAGGTCTTGCTGCCCCAGGTACATGGCATGGGAGAGGTAGGTGCCCTGATACACCGCTGGTCGCGGCAGGGGCAGGGAAGGCTAGCCTGCAACCTGCATGTTGCGCAGTCGTCCGCCCCGCCCTCCCACCCACCCCTCAACACCGTCGGGTAAATATGGGCGGGGTAGGGCGTGAAGGCTTGACACTGAAGACTTGGGTCCCCGGAACAGAGATCTGGCCGACAGCAAGCACACTCTGGCTCAACCAAGGGATCGGGGCGAGTGTGTTGTGGGCGGGGCTGACAGCAGGGTGGGCGGACAGGGGTGCGGAAGTTACGCGGAAGGGTGTGACTGACGACATCCAAGCCCACTACAGCACGCCCACTCCTCACCCCGCCACGCCCACACTCAGTCTCCATCCTTCAGGCACTCCCACTTCAGCTCGACCAACTTTGAGCCGATAAGAATTCTGGAATACTTTCCTGCGTAACAGCCTTTGTCTTCCCTTCCACCAACATTGAATTAACGGCGCTCTTAAGAAAACACTTAGCTCTTTATCTCAACACTCTTATCAGTATTTTCAAACTTCTTAAATTACCTACGCTCTTCCAGTCCAGGAAGACGTGGTAAAGGTTTCCAGTCCAGCAAAGTGATAGAGATTCTTAGTCAAGCAAGACGTAATAGAGGTTCCAACCAAGAAAGGTGTCTTAGAGGCTTCCAGTTCAGGAAAACGTGGGTTTTGAACTCCAGAGAATGTCTAGTGAAACGTTTTAGAGGTTTCCAGCATTCGTTTTGGATAGTCTTAGAGATTTCCAGCGTTCAGGAAAAATTATTTGAAAAGCGTTCCAGCGACGATCATCCAGTAGAGCAATTCAGAGCTCTCCAGCTCCTGCTACCTCTATCATTTATAATCTTCCTGGCACTTCAGCTTTTCTTCCCCTCGAGGATGTCAAGTCGTCTGCGTGTGTACCGCCCGCACCTCCAGAGAGAGCTCTACCTCACCTCCAGAGAGAGCTCTACCTCACCTCCAGAGAGAGCTCCACCTCACCTCCAGAGAGAGCTCCACCTCACATCCAGGAAGAGCTCCACCTCCCAACTTTAAACAGGCTGGAACTGATTCGATCACGATGCCTGCTAACACACACGCGTCATATTTGTTGCCTGAGCCATTATCAAAAGCGTCAATTTATTTACACTGTCGACCCCGAGCTTCCTGTACGCACCGCTACACACATCATCAACTATTATTTTTTCCACTCAGTTTCTAGCTAGCTAATATTTTTCTCGCTACACTTTTTAATGTAATGTATTTTACACTTATCAGAAAATGTTTTCATGAATCATTATGCATTTTTCATCATGGAATTTCACTTATTGTACAATTTACTAAAATCATTATAAATCAATAAATTCCGTAACACAAGTACATTTCAATAAATACAAAAAAAAATTAGTAGTAGGAATTTATATCAAAGATTTACTAATAGCAATACATATAGATACAATAGATTTGCGAACACCAATATATTTCAATAGATTCGTTAATACCAATTTGCTTTAATAGATTAGGTGACACCAATGTATTCCAATAGACTGGGTAATATCAATGCATTTCAGTAGCTTCGCTAATACCAATATTTCAAGAGACGACTCTGATACCAGTTAGTTTCAAAACACAAGCCGGACATTTTTACATAATTTCTGCCTGCGTATTATGTCGACATTTGACATCATATTCGAATTATTTTTTTTTTCTCTCGTATAAGTTCCATTAGTTTATTCTCTTAGAACAACGGCACTTTTCGGACAATATATTTTTCAAGTTGCTGATTTCTTTCCTCTCAGCTAGATTGCCTGCTGTCATAGTTTCTGGGGGAGAGAGAATGCAAATTGAATTACGCTGTTATATGCACGAATTGCATAAAAGGAACGGCATTTTTTTTTCATTTTTAAAGAGTGAAATTTTATTTATAATTATATATATATATATATATATATATAATATATATATATATATATATAATATAAAATATATAATATATATATATATAATTTTATATAATATATATAAAAATATATATATAAGGTACACCACTATAATTGTACTGGGGACCCTCATCCTCAGAGAAGAGAATAAACGAACTTCAGGAAAGACTCAAGGTTCTCCGCGGAGCTGTTTGAATATTTTCTTCTACCACCTCCTATATTCTATGTGAATTTCATTTATAGACAGAATACACTGACAAAAAAAATACAAATATGAATACGTTGGTACATTATATCAAAGATTATGAATTTCCTCCAGCTCCTCTGAAGCTGGACGCCAGCCAAGTATGCAGCAAGCGTTTCCCCTCTGGATGGCCACGCTGAGGCACTGGAAAGTGAAAGTGGCTGCCCTTGGGTCCCTGGTGGTGTCGATGAGTCTGGAACCTAGTTTTTTTCGGAAGCGTGTGGCGTTTTTTCCCCATGATCCTGAGGTCTTTGATCCCACAGGGACAAATTGATACTATTGTCTTACGTCTCTGTACTTGCCGATCTTGTACTCCTCCCTGTGATCAGCAGTTCCTCCCTGTTGCCCGACACTGTGATGGATGTAGGTATCAGCCAGCGTCGACACATAGGTATAGTTCCATGCTAAGAGCTTGCCATTCTTCCAAGGACAGATTGTGATCCCGTCTGGATGGTTTGTTGGGCTGTGAGTATTGTTGGCTGCTAGTAATCGGGGCTGGGCATCCAGTTGTAGCAAGGGATCTCTTTATGATGTCATTGACTTTATTGTGTCTTGCATGCCAACCCTTGGTTTTTGAGCAATTAAGACTATATAGCCCATATTGGTCGGCTTGTGCATCACCGTAAATACACGGAATCTGTTTGGAGGAAGTCCCCAGAGTAATGTGCACTCACAGCTTGGAGAAGGGCAGTCTCCCTGTCTGAGGTTACATCCGTTACATCCCTAAGCATGTTGGCAAGTACTTTTTCAGCGATGGGGCCATCCCAACTTTACTGTTTGTAGGTCAGTGCTGAAATAGGTTTCGGTGCTGGGGCAGCAACAGTCTCCCATTCAGTGATGGCACTTACGTAGCTAGGGTCCTGTATTCTTGCTGAGTCACTGAGGTTATCCGGAAGAATTTGTTTTATTAACTCGTTTGGTGCTGTGGAAGAGGATAGGAAAGCTGATAGGGAAATATGGGAGGATTTGTGTATTCCCAGCCCCCCAAGCCTGACTGGAAGTGAGGCTTGCAACTACTGTCCATCTTCGAGGGAAAGATTCAGTACACTCTCTAGCATGGTCTTAAGGAGATAGCCATATTCCTTGAGTTTCGGACTGCTGAAATCTGAGGAGCATCCCTGGAAGTAGGTAAGTTATAGGATGGACAGGCACCTGGTGAGCAGGTAGAAGGCATCATGTGTATCGATGTATTACATCCTGTCTTCCATCGTCCTCAGATCTGAGATTTTCTATTCTAGGATCAGAACAATGGCAATGGGCTCAAGAGGAGCACCAAGGAGAGTGCTGTTGGCTGGATCAATGGCTCGTGCTCCTGGTAAAATGGCGCTAATATCCTGGATCATCTCTCGATTGGTAGAAACTATTTCACATTTGGTGGGGTTTAAAGAAAGGCCCAGGCTTTCTCCCATGTCTTTAATTTTACTGATGTCCTCTAGGAGAGATTCTGTAGTGCCAGCTAGGGTACCATCATCCAAGAACCAGATATTGAGCTCACTGGAGAGCGCTTCTGTGACCTTGATCACCAGACAGAATAGAAAGGGGCGATAATAATAACACACATTTAGACACAAACTCAGAAAATTGATTTGTATATTTCGACCCTTTCTGGGATCCTGTTCAGCATATATATATATATATATATATATATATATATATATATATATATATATATATATATATATATATATATATATATATATAATGTCGTGCCGAATATGTAAAACTGGCCAATTAGCAAGAACTCATTTAAAATTAAGTCCTTTCTGAAATTTTCTCTTATACGTTCAAAGATATATTTTTTTCATTAATGTTAATGTAAAAATTTTTAATTTTGCACCAAAAGAATCTTAGAAAACTTACCTAACCTTATTATAACAAGAGCAATTTATTTTAGCATAACCCAACTAAATATTTTGTAAATACGTTTACAATAATTTAATACTAAACAAACACAATCAAATATATTTTTTTCGTTAGGTTCAGAATGATTTTGGCGAAATTATTGCATACACAAATTTTTACTTGTCCTATATGGCAAGATGAGCGTTGCTATTTAAGCCAAGATCGCAAGTTCTGCCTATTCGGCGCGCATAACGGAGATAAAACACCTCAATTACTGGGAGCGCTTGAGGTTCCTGAACCTGTATTCCCTGGAACGCAGGAGGGAGAGATACATGATTATATACACCTGGAAAATCCTAGAGGAACTAGTACCGAACTTGCACACGAAAATCACTCACAACGAAAGCAAAAGACTTGGCAGACGATGCACCATCCCCCCAATGAAAAGCAGGGGTGTCACTAGCACGTTAAGAGACCATACAATAAGTGTCAGGGGCCCGAGACTGTTCAACTGCCTCCCAGCATACATAAGGGGGATTACCAACAGACCCCTGGCAGTCTTCAAGCTGGCACTGGACAAGCACCTAAAGTCAGTTCCTGATCAGCCGGGCTGTGGCTCGTACGTTGGTTTGCGTGCAGCCAGCAGCAACAGCCTGGTTGATCAGGCTCTGATCCACCAGGAGGCCTGGTCACAGACCGGCCGCGGGGCGTTGACCCCCCGGAACTCTCTCCAGTAAACCCGTAAATATAACATACATATAATATATATATTATATAATATATAATTCATATATATTTATATATATATATATGTGTGTGTTGTGTGTGTGTGTGTGTGTTGGTGTGTGTTTGGTTTCAATGAAATCACGAACAAGTGATTTTAAATCATTTACCAGGAGGCCTGGTCACAGACCGGACCGCGGGGTTGACCCCGACTCTCTCCAGGTAAACATGCCATGGTAAACAAACTACGGCAGGCCAGACTCAAACCTACGAACCTTGTCCCGCCTTCAGAGACACACAATGTAGGGGCATCACCTTCCACGGGCCCCAGCGATCCTACTAGAACCAAGCACACAGCACGAAGCTGTGTTTACCTTGGTCCGAGGACACTCGTGGCAGTGGTATCTCAAGGATTAATTTCAGCCTCATCCTGTTTGAATACCCGCCTCAAAAAGCAGTCTATATAGAAATATATAGCATAACCTAACTCGAAACCTACTGTATACTTTTACGTTGTTGACACCACTGCTGCCTCAGCTAGTCGTACCACTGCTGATTCAGTTGGTTGTACCACTGCTTCCTCAGTTAGTTCCACTACTGCTGCCTCAGCTCGTTCTACCACTGCTGCCTCAGCTGGTTGTACCACTGCTGAGTCGGCTGGTTGTACCACTGCTGCCTCAGCTGGTTGTACCACCGCTGCCTCTACTGGTTGTACCACTGCTGCCTCAGCTGATTGTACCATTTCTGCTACAGCTGGTTGTACCACTGCTGTTTCGGCAGATTGTACCACTGCTGCCTCAGCTGATTGTACCACTGCTGATTCAAATGGTTGCACCACTGCTGCCTCAGTTGGTTATATCACTGCTACCTCAGCTGGTTGTACCACTGCTGCCTCAGCTGATTGTACCACTGCTGCCTCAACTGGTTGTACCACTGCTGCCTGAGCCGATTGTACCACTGCTGTCTTAGCTGGTTGTACCACTGCTGCCTAGCTTGTTTACCGACTGCTGCCTCACCGGTTGTACCACTGCTGCCTCAGCTGGCTGTACCACTGCTGCCTCAACTGGTTGTACCACTGCTGCCTCAGCTGGTTTGTGTACATTTGCTGCCTCAATTGGTTTACATCACTGCTGTCCTCATTGGTTGTACCTTGCACCATCAGCTGATTGTACCACTGTTGCTTTAGCTGGTTGTACATGCTGCCTAGCTGGTTGTATCCACTGCTGCTTCAGGGTGTACTACCGCTATCTCAGCTGGTTGTACCACTGCTGCCTCAGCTGTTTTTACCACTGCTGCGTCAGCTGACTGTATCATTGCTGCCACAGCTGCCTCAGCTGGTTGTACCATTGCTGCCAAAACTTGTTGTACAACTCCTGCCACAGCTGCTTGTACCACTGCTGCTTCAGATGGTTGTACTACTGCTGTCTCAGCTGGTTGTACCACTGCTACCTCAGTTGGTTGTACCACTGCTGCATCAGCTGACTGTATCATTGCTGCCACAGCTGGTTGTTCCACTGCTGCCTCAGTTGGTTGCACCACTTCTGCCTCAGTTGTTTGTACTACTTCTGCCTCAGCTGGATTGCACCACTGCTGCCTCAGCTGGTTGTACCACTGCTGCCTAAGCTTGTTGTACGACTGCTGCCTCAACCGATTGTACCACTGCTGCCTCAGCTGGTTGTACCACTGCTGCCTCAACTGGTTGCACCACTGCTGCCTCAGCTGTTGTTCCACTGCTGCCTCAGCTGGTTGTATCACTGCTGCCTCAACTGGTTGCACTACTGCTGCCTCAGCTGGTTGTTGAACTGCTGCCTCAGCTGGTTGTATCACTGCTTCCTCAACTGGTTGCACCACTGCTGCCTCAGCTATTGTACCACTGTTGCCTCAGATGTTTGTACTACTGCTGCCTCAACTGCTTGTACCACTGCTGCCTCAGTTGGTTATATCACTGCTACCTCAGCTGGTTGCATCACTGCTGCTTCAGATGGTTGTAACACTGTTGTTTCGGCTGGTTGTACCACCGCTGCCTCAGCTGATTGTACCACTGCTGCTTCAGAT